ATCAAGAGGAACAGAATGCTGGGAAAAAGAAAAATTTGATTAAAAAAAATTCCAAGCAGGGTGTGATAGTCCATGCCATAGTCCCAGCTACCTCAGCAGCTGAGGCAGGAGGATTGCTTGAGACCAACCTGAGCAACATGGTGAGAGACCCTATCTCAAAAACTGGGAGAGAGGGGGAAAAAAAGAAAGGAAAGAAAATTCAGGAAATTAAAGAAGCGGGCTAGTGAAATGGCTTAGCAGGCAAGAGCCTCGGGCTTGACTTCAGCCTCCAGACCTATGTGGGAAGAGGAGAGCCAAGTCCGAAAGCATAGCCCATGACCTATCAACAGTGACTGCAGCATGCATGGACACACACACACACACACAAAAAAAAAAAAACAATAACAACAGCAATAATAATGATAATAATAATAAACTAAAGGTTTTTTAATACACAGTCAGAAAAAAAACTTAATTAAAAAGATTTAAGGGAAAAACTGAAGAAGTATCTTTGAAACAATCAAAAATGACAGGGAGGCTTAAGAAAACAAGAAAAAAATGTTTAAAAGAGGAAGCGTTTGCCCAAATGAGTTGCAAACCGTGCCCACATGAAAAGCTCCACAGGGAAGTTCATATAGGTTTTATTCATCATGGCCCAAACCTGGCAGCCATCACGATGCCCTTCCAAAGACAACAGGACAAATGATCTGGAGAGAACAAAACAAAGAAAGAACAGGGAATTTAAGAGTAAGTGGAAGAAAGTGGGTTGAAGCCAGGGGACCTGGTATGCGGGGTGCCACCATCCACCTGGACACCCAGAGCTGTGGCAGTCCCTGCTCCCCACCACCCGACCCTGTCACCTGGGTGCATGCTCCTGACCCCACAGCATCCTCCCTCTGAGAGCCTATTTTTGCCAGATGTTCAAACTATAGCCCAGCCTGGAAATTTCCTACGGTGATGAGCTGCCTCCCGAGAACCCGCCCACTCAGGCTGAGAGCTTCTCAGGGAAACTGAATCCACGCTCTGTCCCTGAGACACTCAGCTTAAATCTCCCCCGGTAACCTTCACATAGAAGGAAATAGGTTTTCTGCCACCCCTGCACCCTTCCCCCGCTTCCCCCACCCCCATAAGTTTCTCCACTGATGCGGTAAGCCAGATCAAGCCAAACTAAAAAAGTATAACAAGTATATTGAGCAAAGCAACTCTCTGGTGGGTTCACTGGTCTCAGGGAATGAGGCCAGAGAAGTACCACACAGGGGCTAAAGCAGTAACGTTTTATAGATTGTAGGCGAGGGGTGATGATATGCCTGCCACACGCGGGGTTTGTGCCCAAGTGTGGTCAATAACTGAGAGTTTAGGCAGGGACTTGGACAGCTGGCAACTTCAGGGGAGGAAGCTGCCACAGCCACCAAGACTACATCTGAGCTTCCGTTACCTTTCCTTTGTTTGGAGACTCTGAGAGGGCAGGGTTCACAGAGATAGAGCGAGAGATGGGGCTTCCCAGAATATGCAGGGGCAAGCTGGAAGCTCCAACCAAACATGGGGCTTTACTGATCCTCTGGCTAGGGCTAAATTGGGGCAAAAATATCAGATAATATTGACTTACCAGAGGTACTAGTTTTGTTTGATTGAGACAGAGTTCAAATTGGCCTTGCTATCACTATAGAGACTAGACTGGCCTCAGATTTGAAGGAACCCTCCCTGGTGAGGGAGCAGTGGTGCGCCACCGCACTCAGAATATTAGTCTTCAGGACTTTTTCATAAGCGTTAACCCGCCACAGTGATGTGAGACCCTCAGGAAATCACATGAGACAGGGGGATGTTTGTAACAGCATACGCTAGCAACAACTTCACTAGTTCTGGAAGTAGGAGTAACATAAAGTGTGGGCGGTATCGAATATTATATTACAGAATGGAATATGATGCAGCCACTAAACGTTACTTTTTTTTTTTCTTTCTTTTTTTTTTTTTTTTTCCTTTGGTTTTTCAAGACAGGGTTTCTTTGTAGCTTTGGAGCCTGTCCTGGAATTGAAACTAGCTCTTGCAGACCAGGCTGGTCTCAAACTCACAGAGATCCACCTGCCTCTGCCTCCCGAGTGTTGGGATTAAAGGTGTACGCTACCACCACCGGTCCTTTTTTCTTTATTGTGTGTATATATGTTGCAAGGGGCTGCTTAGTTCCGAAATAATCACACAGAAAGTGTATTATTTAAATCACTGCTTGGCCCATTATTACCTGTAAGGGTTCTGCACCCAGAAGGATTTAGAGGAAATGGTGACTAGCGCACACCGTGCCAGTGGACAGAGCAGCAGGAACGCTGCAGAGACCCTCTCACACTCACTCATGTTACAGATAAGGATGTAGGACCAGGGTGGAACATGAGCCTAGGCGGCAGGAATCCCACATGTGAGGGGCGGGGCTCTCCTCCCAGCACTCCCCAGCCCATCTGATCATCTTCCCATTTAACCAACTGCATCTTCATCTTCCAATTCCAGACTGCTAGGTATGCCAGACTCAGACTCACAGTGTGATGCTAGGCTAGCTCACCATCTGATAGCTATTGGAAAGGCAGACTCCCACCGCCAGACAAAGTGGTACTTGCCTGTATTCCCAGCGCTTGAGAGCCAGAGGCAGGAGGACTTGTTTCTCCGTCAGCTTCCCAGTTAGACCTGAAGCTGCTGCTATTTTAACTACCATATGTGACCCTGCAGCCCTGTAGTCAGCGCCCTTCTGCTGCCGATGGAGTTTTTAACTAATTCTCTATTGTTCTTTCTACCAATAAAACACGGAAGTCAGATAACGGGGTGAAAACCTGCTAGCTCAGAGAGGCTGAGAAGCAACCAGCTGACCAAGGCAAAACTCTTAAGTCCTTCCCTACCCCTTCCTGTGTTTCCTGTGTGTCTTTATATTCATCTTCCTGTCCTCTTTCTCTCTACAACCAATTCCTGTCAACTATTTGCTGGCTTCACCTCCTGATGCAAGGTTGATTTTATTAGCACAGTCTCAGGTTTCACAGTGCAATCAAATAGCCCACAACAATGACTGACACAAATTTGAGGCCAGCCTGGCTTATATAGTGAAACTGTCTCAAAGGGATAAGCATCTCAGGCCTCTTTCCTGAGAAAGGGAGAATCAGAGCCTACATTTTAGAACCCCAGGGCAAGATTCCCACAGGAGTATAAACAAATACAGAAACTCTTTCATGGCTTAGGCTGAAGCTGACCTGGATGACCAAAGAAATGCTTTTTTTTTTTCCAAATTTTATTTATTTATGTTGGGGAGGGGTCCTCAAATGGCACAGAGAATATTTGGAGGTCACAGGACAACGTCTTAGGGTTTCTCTCGCTGTGAAGAAACACCATGCCCACAGCAACTCTTATAAAGGAGAACATTTAATTGGGGTACCTTGCTTACCATTTCAGAGGTTTAGCCCCTTTACTGTCAGGTTGGGAAGCAAAGCAGCATGCAGGTAGACCTGGTGCTAGGGAAGGAGCTGAGAGTTCTTACACCTTGACTACAGACAATAGGAGGTGGTCTATCTCACTGGGTGTGGCTTGAACATATGAGACCTCAAAGTCCACCCCCCATAGTGACACACTTCCTCCAACAAGGCCACACTTCCTAATGGTGCCACTCCCTTGGGGGGGCATATTTTATCCAAATTACCACAGACAACTTGCAGGAGTCACTTCTCTTCTTCCACCTGTGGGTCCCAAGAATCAAACTGAGGTTGTCAGGTGTCGACTTCTACCTGTTGAAGCATTCCGCTGGCTCATAGATGGCCAAAGTAAAATAAAATGATTTGGGATGTGGTAAGCTGTTATGGATGGGGTTGACCTTGCCTATGTAGTTCGGTCTGGCCCTGAACTCACAGAGATCCATCCTCCTCTGTAGGCCAGGCCACCATACCCAGCGTGTGTGTGTGTGTGTGTGTGTGTGTGTGTGTGTGTGTGTCCCATGCATGCAGAATCCAGAGAGGGCCAGAAGAGGGCGTCTGATTCCCCTGGAGCTTGAGTTGTAATGCTACCAGAGAACCAAATTCAATTCCTCTGTAAGAACTCTTAACCTCTGAACCATCTTTCTAGCCCTTAGTAATTCTTTTTTTTTTTTATTCTCCCTTTTCTTACCTTCCTTCCTTTCTGTCTTTTTTTTCTTTGGAACTCATCTGTAGACCAGCCTGGCCTCGAACTCAGACATCTGTCTGCCTCTGCCTCTCCACTGCTGGAATTAAAGGCATGCATCACTACCCCCCAACCCCCTTAATAATTCTAGCTAGACAGGTTTCTACAGGCCTGATGCCCTCTGAGCGTTGGGACTTCCCACCTAGTAATTGTCACCTAGCAATCATTCAGTATGTGTGTAATAATACCAGTAAGTAGTCTAGGGGAAGCTCAGTGTAGTGTTGTCTAGCATGTGATACCTCTGAGTTCAATCCCCAGCACCAATATATAAATAAGTAAATACAGAGAGAGAGCAAGAGCACTGGTGACTTTTGGCAATCTTTTACTTGTACCACTCAGAACATTACACTTTCAAAAGAGAGTTTTCTCCATTCCAACATCCATAACCATGTCAATTCCACCTCCATCGGCGAGGAAGTGGGTGAGGCTGAAGGTCAAATACTGTAAATTGTTTATGGCAGAACTTCCTGTGGTTTCAAAAGTTTGAGAAATCTCATTCCACACAATAAATGTGTGTTTTCAGGGTCTTCGCTTTCAGGGTGTTCATCCTTTTCAATGCGGTCATTCAACATTCCTGCCCACCTCCAGTCTCCGCCTCGCCCCCAGATCTGGCTCCGCCCACATACCTGACCCCTCCCACTCAAGGGGGAGCGCCGCCGCGGGCCCCGCCCTACATCCCGTCCCGCCTATAAATGCGCTTTCTCTTCACAGGCCCCACCTTTCTCTAACTCCGTCCACCAGCGGAATGCGCCGCCATAGGCCTTATCCTATCCGACTCCGCCCACTCCCTGGGAGCGTCAGGCTCCGCCCATCCCTTACCGCAGAGGACCAGCATGCGGACTGCGCAGGTGCGCGCCAGAGGCGCGGCCTTCTCACCCCCACGCGGATCTCGCTGCGTGAGGGTGGGAAGGCGATCGCGGGCCTGACTGCAGGTGGAACCCGGGGCCGCGCGAGCCGGCGGAGGTCTCAGAGACCTCGCGAGAGGGGCGCGGGCGAGGCCCCGCGGGACGGCCGTTGCGAGCGCGGTGGCGGCGGGCCTGGCCTGTGCTGGACGGAGCCCGCGAGTGTGGGCCCGGGGGGCCGAGGCCGCGCGCTGCGAAGGCGAGCCAGCCGCAACCCCCATGCTGTGAGTCCTGAAGGCGAGCCCTCTGGACCTGGCCGCTCCCTAGGCCACGCCCCAGCCTGGGAAGATGGAGGGGGACCGGCGGACCAGTCCGCCCAGCCAGAGCCTGCTTCCCGATGGCCACTTGGTCCTATGGACGCTGTTCTCCGTGCTGCTGCCGGTGTTCATCACCTTCTGGTGTAGCCTTCAGCGGTCGCGCCGGCAACTGCATCGCAGGGACATCTTCCGCAAGAGCAAGCACTGCTGGCGTGACACCGACCTGTTCAGCCACCCCACCTACTGCTGCGTGTGCGGGCAGCACATCCTTCAGGGAGCCTTCTGCGACTGCTGCGGGCTCCGCGTGGACGAGGGCTGCCTCAAGAAGGCGGACAAGCGCTTCCCGTGCAAGGAGATCATGCTCAAGAACGACGGCCGGGCCACAGATGTCATGCCTCACCACTGGATCCGCGGCAACGTGCCCCTGTGCTCTTACTGTGTCGTCTGCAAGCAGCAGTGCGGCAGCCAGCCTAAGCTCTGCGATTACAGGTATGGCCTTTGTGTCTGGAAGGGGCGGGGGCGGGCAGGATTGCAAACACTCGCTCTAGAGACCTAAATTCATCGCAGCAAATGGCCTAAACCGCTCGCTCACAAGCATCCCTGGCGTTCACGGCAGACCCCCTTTAGATGCTTTGTTTTCGCGTTTTGGAGATGGAGGTCTCCTATACCCCAGGCTGGCCTCAAACTTTCTGGATAACAGAGGATGACCTTGATCTTTTGATCCTTCTGCCTTCACCTCCCCCCGTGCTGAGATGACAGGCCAGTTCAAGAGGTGCTGGGGATCTACCTCAAAGCCCCTGCACACGTTTCTCAAGTACTCTGCCAACCGAACTCGCCACCACCTTCCCACCCCTGCCAGAGCTCTTAATTTTCATCCAAGGCCTCTTAATTGCCGCCTGCCTTGTGGCTACTCTGTAGCACCCCATTTTATATAAGGAAAACTGAAGGGCACACACAGTAACTTTATTCTAGTTACAAACCAGCCGGCTGTTGGTTTAGAACTATGAAAACAAGGGTTATCCCAAAGCAGAGCTCCAAGTTTCTTTTGCAAACACTGCTCTTGGTATCATAGTGAAGTGTTTGACATACAAGACAAAAACGGAGTATTTATTTTATGTTTGCCATTTGTTTATTTGTGTGTGGGGGGTGCACATTTGTAATGAATTGTATATGTGGGGCTCAGAAGACAGAACTTTGTGGCCTGCATTCCCTTCCACCGCAGGAGGCCTGCCACTCTAGCAAGTAATCAGGCGAGTGGGCCTCACCAGCCCTGAAAGGAATATTTTGTCGTCAGATCTTTCAGGTGAGTCACCTGAGTTAAACTGAGCATGTTTTTAAGGCTTCCGCACGTACACTGAAGAGTGCTTTTTGCGTGCGGAATGGCGTCTGAACGAGGCTTCTGCGTAGGAGGTCGGTGGACGGCAGCGCTGCTCTGCAAATCATTTGCTCTCTCGTGTTTAACGGTTGAGAATATTGAAGATAAAACAGGACAGGATCCCGAGATTTCTGACACTTAGCCTTGTCAGAGCCTTGTCTGGATCTCACTGTGTGATGGGTCTTATTTCCAACAAATAGAAAGTCACACACACACTCCCAAGAGCTGAAGCAGAAGGTGGTACCAGCTGCTGTGTGTCTCTGTGTGACTCTGGGTGGGGGTATGTACACATGAGCACCCAGAGGCCAAAGAGGGTGACACTCAGACACACACACCTGAGCCGAAGTTGTAGGTGATTGTAAGCCTCCCAGCATGGGTGCTGGGAACCAAACTCGGGTCCTTTTCAAGAGCAGTACACATTCTTTAGCTGTTGATCCATCTGTCCATCCTCTCTTTAAAGGGTTTTTCAAGACAGGGTTTCTCTGTGTAGCCCTGGCTGCCCTGGACCTCGCTCTATAGACCAGGCTGGACTCATACTCACAGAGATCTGCCTGCCTCTGCCTCCCAGTTCTGGGGTTAAAGGAGTGTACCACTGCTGCCTGGTTGAAAAGGTTTTAACAGGAAAAAAAAAGATTGAATAAGTTATGAAATAGTACATATAATATAATATTACATGTTTCTTTCTAAACCATGATTTAAAAAAAATAGCTTAGGAAAATATGTGTGATATCAACTTGGAAGAAATGCAGAGTCCAATACACACAGATCACGCTCCTACCTGAAAAGCATCTTGTACTATAAAATTGGGAATATGTCTCCAGAAGAATTGTCGATGGTGTTATTTATACCTTTCTAAGATTCCTAAATTCTCAAGCATAAAGAAATTCATTAAAGAAATTCATCGGGCTGGAGAGATGGCTCTGTGGTTAAGAGCACGGACTACTCCTCCAGAGAACCCAGGTTCAATTCCCAGCACGCATACGGCAGCTCACCCTTGTCTGTAACTACAGTTTCTGGGAATGTAACACCCTCATGCAGAAATGAATGCGAACAAGACACCAATGCACATACAATAAAATTAAGTCTAAAAAAAAAATCATGAATATATTCTAGTTTTTAGAAGCTAAAGCAACACACACACACAGAGGGTTAGTTAGACATTCATGTCTTCCCCATCTGTAGTTTTACTTCTCTTCCCAGGGGAAGTTATTAGGAAGTACTGCAGTGGTTATCCTGCAGGTTATGTTCAATAATAATATACAATAAGGCCACCATCATCATGTGTTAGCCTGTGCCATGAGGCCTAACCTAGACTCTGCCCTGGTTTGGGGTTCTTCTTCAGGAGGCTAGATTTATTTTATATGTGGGTGTTCTTCCTGCATGTATGTCTCAGTACTGCTTGTGTGTCTGGTACCCCCAAGGGGAAGAGGATATCAGAAGCCCTGGAACTAGAGTTGCAGATAATTTGTGAGCTACCAGGTGGTTGCTGGGAATCTAACCCTGGTCCTCTGCAAGAGTAAAGGTGCTCTTAATTGCTGAGCCATCTCCCCAGCCCCTGCCCTTGTTTTTTCAACATAACAGTTTTTGGTTTGGGGTTGGTTTTTTTGTTTTGTGTGTTGGGGGCGGGTGTTTGTTTGTTGTTTTGGTTTCTTTCTCTTTTTTTGACACAAGAACAATACTTCCGAATGGGAAATTATGTATCCCTTATGCTTGTCTCTGTGGTGGTGACAGTTTGTTTATATGCCACATCTGATTAACTGTGCAGGTGTGAAACCAGGAAGCTAAGTAGATCAGTGTCTCATAGTTGTTGAAATAGGAGCTGCGGAGAAAGATGACCCTCCTCCATCACATAGTCTTATTTAGCTTAAAAATTGGTGGTCAAATTTGACCCTTTTCCCCGCAAATAAATGTGATATGGGGAAAAATAAATACAATATAGTAGGTTAGAGTTAGCTGAGCTGTAGATGTAGGTAGGTAGGTAATAAGAACACTTGACTATCATATACAAATCCTAGATTCCATCCCCAGCACTGGAGGAAAATTACTCATACTTGGTGGCACTTGCCTATAGCCCCAGCAGTCTGGAACCTGAGGCATTAGGATTGAGAGTTCAAGGCCAGAGAGGATCAAATAGCAGCATCTTTGCTCAGAAACAGTGATAACATATTCAGGAGTTATTAGCTGTAAGCAGCCAGTAGATGGGTGTATTCACGTCTACTGTGTAACCTTCTATTACAGTTTCTGACGTTAGAAGCCAGTCTTTATAAATGGCATGAGCAAGTTGTGTTATAATTGTCTCATTGTGCAGGTATCTATTTTTAGCCATCAGTAGAACTCTTGAGTAAACAATAATTACTTGACAAATCTCAACATCCAAAAGGAGAAAAAAAAACCACCTTTAAAATAGAAGACCAGGAGATAACATCTGGCAGAGAAGTGTTTGTTAGATTAGTTAATTCTGTCCTGCTCTGGTGGCCTGCTTTTGCTCAGTCAGATCTGACTTATCTGTGAGGGAATTAAATAGCTTAGCAGATTAATAATAGAAAGCCTAAGTCTTGCCAACACTGTTCCCTGCCTGTCACTGGCACTGGTACTCAATACAGAGACAAATCTGAATACGCACGCTCTGTCTTTGTTTCAGAAGCAGACATGGAACTGTTTATCTGCTCCTAAAAGAAATGGGATGCTTTCCTCTCTATGTGCAAGTTGACAGTTTTCCAAACCAGACCTGAGGAACTGCAGGTGTCAGACAGGTTTAAACGAAAGCCTACACATTGCTAATTACGGCTGTTGTTCTAAGTTGACCTTATTAGGGGGTTGTACCTACAGGTGTCTATCATGATACAAAATCACCCTGAGAAATTGTGCATGATCATAGGTAGTATTTTTTGTGCAGTTTTTAAAATTACATTTATTTTTGTGTGGATACACTGTTTTACCTTTTGACAGAAATGTGGTTTGTGGATTAGGAACACCGGTTTACAATGAACCGATGGCTGTTTCTTCTTTCCTCAGGTGCATTTGGTGCCAGAAAACAGTCCATGATGAGTGCATGAAGAGCAGCTTAAAGAATGAAAAGTGTGACTTTGGAGAATTCAGAAATCTCATCATCCCACCAGGTTATTTGGCGTCCATTAACCAGATGCGTAAAGACAAAAGGACAGATTATGAAGCGGTAATTAGCTTATTTATTTTATAGATCTATTCATTTAAAGTTAGTATATAAGATAGTTAATTCTGTGTGTTTGAGAAAAAAATGAGAATGAAGTAAATAAGAGATTAAAGGGTTTAAAATGTCATTATGGGAAGCCATAAAACTGTTCCCACGGCCAATCATGATAGCAAACGACTTTAATAACAGCACTCAGGAGGTAAAGGCAGTAGGACCAAAAGTTTAAGGTCATTATAGCAAGTTCTAGAATACATAGCAAAAACTAAGAACCAGGAGCTGGAGAGATGGCTCAGCAGTTAAGAGCACTGGCTCTTCTTTCAGAGGACCAGGATTCGATTCTCAACATCCACTGGAGACTCAGAACCAGCTATAACTGCAGTACCAAGGGATCCAACACCCTCTTCTGGCCTCTGGACCTTGCTTTCATATGGTACACAGACATACATGCAGGCAAAACACCCATACATATAAAATAATAAAAGAGCCTTTAATCACAGTACTTAATAGGCAGAGGCAGGAGGCAGATAGATCTCTGTAAGGCCTTGCCTCAAAAAACAAAGAAAAAAACTGGGGATCACAGACAAAAACAAAACAAAACAAAACAAAACAAAAAAAAAACAACAAAAAAAACCTGGCCAGCTAGTATATTCTCAAATACATCCAGAAATGAAAAACAAGGTCAGAGAAGATCAGACTCCACTCTGTCGATGGCTAAAAGAACATGGACTGTATTAACTGGTGACAGACTCAAATACTAAGGTTGAACATCCCTAACCCAACATTGAAGATCCAGAATTTAAGGTACCATCATGGTACCACAAGTAGAAAATCCTCCTCCTAATCACAGGACAGGTTGTGGTCAAAATGTAGGAACACTAAAATGTCCTATAAAACTGACCTTGTGCTGTTTGAAGGTACATACATATGAAACGTAATTTCATATTAAATTTGGATCCTGTCTCTAAAGTAACCCCATTATGTATGTGCAAACACTCCAAAATAAGAAACACTTCTGCTGGGCAGGTGGTGTTGGTGCACGTCTTTAATCTCAACACTCTGGAGGCAGAGGCAGGCGGATCTCCGTGAGCGAGTTCCAGGACAGCCAAGGCTGTACAGAAACTCTGTCTCAGAAAAAAAAAAAAAAAAAAGGAGAGACATAGTTCTGTTTAAGCATTTCAGATAATGGATACTCCAACTATGTACTGTTCCAAATTTTGAACATAGCATGTGTAATGACTGTTTTGGAAGCAAAATGAGAAAAAGCACTCGCCATGCAAGCGTGAGGATCTAAACTCAGTCCTCAGCATCTGTGTTCAAGGCTGAGCATGGTGCATCCATTTGTAATCCCTGCCTTAGAAAGGCAGTACTCCTGGGGCTTGCTGGTTAGCCAACCTACCATAACTGACAAGCTGCATGAGCCGTCAGGAGACCATATTTCAAGAAAGAAGATAGTCTCTCTTGGTGGGTAAGTGGCCAACACCTTTCATCTAGCACTTGGGAGATGGGTAGGTTGATTGATTTCTATGAGCCCCAGGCCAACCAAGGCTATATAGTGAGATTCTGTCTGAAAACAGGAAAGGAAAGAGGGGGCTTCTGGAGAAAATATCCGAGGGGGTTGTCTCCTCTTTCCATGGAGACTCATGCACACAGCAAGTCTACATTGAGTGAAAGGTCAAGCTGTAAAATTCTCTGCCATTCTCGGGCTTGTTTGTCATTATTGTGTTGATAGTACAGGTTTATTTCAGCAAATTATAGCACCATTGCTACTAAGGAAAGTTTCATATTTGCCATCTCTCAGACGCTACTAACCCTATTTCGTCCATGTTCATTTTTTAGCTGGCTTCTAAGTTTGGAAAGCAGTGGACCCCATTAATAATCCTGGCCAACTCTCGCAGTGGAACTAACATGGGAGAAGGACTGTTGGGAGAGTTTAGGATCCTGTTAAATCCAGTCCAGGTAACTAAAGAGAAAGCCTTGCTTTCTAAGTCTCATTTTTAGCTTTTGTTTTCCCTAAAATGCAATGGTTATTGATGCTTTAAATCACTACCTAGTTATAGGAAAGAATAATACTTGTTAAAAAAAAAAAAAACTTGAGCCTTTCAAATATATAGTGAAACAAAAGTCACATCACCCAGCAATCTCATTTCAAGGGAAAGGAAGCCTTATGTCCCACAGAGATTGGGGTACAAATGTCCGATGACAGTATTAGCCATAATTGCCTAAAAATGGAAGAGCTCGACTCTCCGTCAGCTGGTGAATGAATAAACGTACTGTGTCTTCATAAAATGGGTACTTTTCAGTGACTGACAGAAACAAACTATATGATAGTAAGTGAACCTAAAAAGCACTGCTAAATCAATCAGGGCTGAAGGTATCAATCAGACTTTGTAATTGCTTTCATGTGTTCTGTCCAGAAAGGGCAAATCAATAGAGGCAGAGAGTGTAATTAATTCTTGATTGCCTGGGGCTAGAAATGGGAAGTGGCTGTAAAGGGACCTTGAGACATCTTATTAAAAAAACAAAACAAAGAAAACAAAAAACAAAAGGGTTATGTACTGGATTTTGATAGTAGTTGCACAAACTAAAATCAACTATGTGTTCCTTTTTAGAGAGGGATTTTTTGATAAAGTAAATTATACCTTGATTTTTTTAGGAGGGGTTCAAGATAAGGTTTTGAGCCTGTCCTGGAACTCACTTTGTAGACCAGACTGGCCACAAGCTCATGGAGATCTACCTGTGTCTGTCTCCCAAGTGCTGGGATCAAAAGCATGTGTCACCACTGCCCGGCTTATTCCTTGATTTTTAAAATGGGGGGAGGCACGCCATTAAAACTGAATGTACATAATCCAAGTGTGATGGCACACACCTATACTCCCAGTTCACGGAGCCGGGAAGCAGGTTGATCTCTAAATTCAAGGCCAGTTTTTAAAGCATGAAGTTACAGAATACTAGCTAAGGGTGAGATTAGCATGTTGTAAGGGGAGCAGCGGGCTGCATCCACCACCGGACTAGTTTATACCCAAAATAACCACACCAAATTGTATTGATTAAATTACTGCTTGGCCCATTATTTCTAGCCTCTTACTGGCTAACTCTCATGTCTTGATTCAACCCATTTCTAATAATCTGTATGTCACCACGAGCTCATGGATTACCGGGAAAGATTCAGCATGTCTGACCTGGCAGCTTCATGGTGGGTGGCTCTCTGACTCTGCTTTCTTCCTCCCAGAATTCTGTTCTGCCTTCCCTGCCTACCTGAGTTTGCCCTATCAACTAGGCCAACTTAACCAATGAAAGTAACACATAGGCAGAAGACCCTCCTACACCATTAGCGCACTAGAGTTTGATGTGAACAGAAAGGAGTCAAATGGTCCTGTAGCCTTAGGCTCTCAGTTTGTGTTGTATTTCCACATCTGCAGAATCACACAACTGATTTAGCCTCCTGGGCCCCTTGTCCTAGTCGGTAGAATGAGGCCGGTCCCTGCTTTGTAGGTCAGTGTACTGGATGAGCCACAGTAATAGATTGGGCCCTGGGAACTGTCAGGAAAATACATAGAGGGCAGTCATCCGCAGGTGAAGGACAGTGTGGGCTGAACATACTCTCCTTGTTCTTTTATTTGTAGGTGTTCGATGTAACTAAAACGCCCCCAATCAAAGCCCTGCAGCTGTGCGCTCTTCTTCCTTATCACTCAGTTCGCGTCCTTGTTTGCGGAGGGGACGGAACTGTGGGCTGGGTCCTCGATGCAGTTGATGAAATGAAGATTAAGGTATCTGTCTTTAAGAACCACTGTAAAGCTGGCAGTGGTGGCTCACGCCTTTAATCCCAGCACTCGGAGGCAGAGACATGCGGATCTCTGTGAGTTCGAGGCCAGCCTGGTCTACAAGTGCTAGTTGCAGGCTCCAAAGCTACACAGAGAAACCCTAACTCAAAAAAACAAAAACAAACAAACAAAAAGAACCACTGTAATGGGTGCTGATGATATGGCTCAGTACTTGAGCACTTGCCTGACATGTGTAGGGTCAGTCCCTAGTACCACCCCCAAAAACAGTGAAAGTAACAGGTGACCACTAGATGAAGCCGATTTGGATAGTTAGGAATGAAACACTGTGATTAAGAAATTAGTGTAACCTACAGTTGTCGTTTTTGTCTTTGTTGCTTTAGTCTTTAAATTTTACAAAATACTATAATGCTACTAATAATCTAAAGAGAAAATCTGCAGTACATCTTCTGTATTCTAGGGACAAGAAAAGTACATTCCACAGGTTGCAGTCTTACCTCTGGGAACAGGCAACGATCTGTCCAATACCCTGGGTTGGGGTACAGGCTATGCTGGAGAAATCCCGGTCGCACAGGTCTTAAGAAATGTAATGGAAGCAGATGGAATCAAGCTAGACCGGTAAGTTACTACTGCTAACTAGTAACTAGTACTAACAAGTCTATGGCTTGAGTTTGGAGTTTGTTTATTTGTGTAAATAAACAGTGAAGTTGGTCAGGCATGGCAACTCATCCCTGTAATCCCAGCATTTGGGAGATTGAAGCAGAAGAGAAATGCCATGAATTTGAGGCCAACCTGGGCCATGGAGTTAAGAATTTGTCTCAAGAAATCAAAAACAAGCTAAATGTAATTTAAGTGAAAAGAACTATTGTATTAGTTGACTTATAACAGATTCTGGTGTCTTGTTTTTAATATTGTAAATAGTTCAGTTATAAATTATGCTAAAATTTTCACACTTACTTAGATGTGGGTACATCCTCAGATGCTTTAAAATAGCATCGAGGGCCAGACAGTGATGGCGCATGCCTTTAATCCCAGCACTCAAGAGACAGGGGCAGTCAGATCTCTGTGAGTTTGAGGCCAGCCTGGTCTACAGAGCAAGTTCTAGTATGGCCAAGTCTATGCTGAATAACCCTGTCTTGAAAAACCAAAAAAATTAAAAATAGCCGGGCGACGGTGGCGCACACCTTTAATCCCAGCACTCAGGAGGCAGAGGCAGGCGGATCTCTGTGAGTTCGAGACCAGCCTGGTCTACAGAGCTAGTTCTAGGACAGGCTCCAAAGCCACAGAGAAACCCTGTCTCGAAAAACAAAACAAAACAAAAAAACAAAAAAAAAATTAAAAATAAATGAAACATAAAATAGCATTGAAATTGTCATCTGTCAACTTATCTAGAATACATATTTTTTTGGTAAAATATACTTTTTTTAACTTCTGTTTTTTAGATGGAAAGTGCAAGTAACAAATAAAGGATACTACAATTTAAGAAAACCCAAGGTACGTTTTTAGTACTTCGGTTGTACGCAATTTAGCAAGTGCACACAGAGTGTCTGTGGTCCGTTATCCCCGTCAGGCAGCGTGGAGAGATCTGGCATCAAAAGGGAGCTGGGTACAAAGCAGATCACCATGTGCCTGCCTTACTCACTCAGCTGTTGGGTTTGGTTGTTTGAGGTTTTCCTTGTTTTGTTTCTGTTAACTTGTATTTGGGGAGGTGCTAAGTGAATATTTTGACCACATCCCCAGCCCCCAAGCTGGGCTCTTAAATGAACAGGTGCACTTAGTTCTGCCCTGGCAGATCAGGTTAGTTTGGATCAGCAAAGGACCATAGGTGAGGTATGTCAGCAAATAGTTGACATTACAGAGATAGTAGAGAACATTTGTTTACTGAGGATCAAAGTCAGGATCTCACACACGCTGCCCGAGTATTCTGCCACTGAGGTACCCACAATCCCAATCTGTATTTTAAGAAAATTTTCTGAGATAGTATGACCATGGCTTACAGACACAAGGAGAGCCTTAAGGATAATTTAGAGAGTTTATTTTCAGTTTAAAGATGTTTTAGGGGGCTGGAGAGATGGCTCAGTGGTTAAGAGCATTGCCTGCTCCTCCAAAGGTCCTGAGTTCAATTCCCAGCAACCACATGGTGGCTCACAACCATCTATAATGAGATCTGGTGCCCTCTTCTAGCATACAAACATACATGGAAGGAATGTTGTATACATAATAAATAAATAAATCTTTAAAAAAAAAAGATGTTTTAAAGTTAAACTGATAAGACTTGGTTAATGACAGCCACAAAAGGAAGAAAGAAATACATAGCTACTAGAGCTTAATGTTTACGATTAGATATATGGAAATGATATTAATCAAGAAAATAAAAATAAGGAAGTTGGGGCTTGGTGTGAAATGAGTTACTTGGCATAGCGTCTCAAACGACTGTGGGTGTTTAATCAGAGGCTGAAGGTTTGTGTTTTTTCCTCACAAGATCCGAGCTAGACATGTAGACTGAAGAATTTAGGCTGAATAGGAAAATACAAACTAAGGGAATAAAGAGTTAAGACCAACAGAATCTGAAAGTTACAAAGAAGGTACAGAACAAATACCATGAGAACACAGAAGTGAAAAATCCTGCCTAGAAAATGCAGAGCCTCGGTGGTGGCGCACACCTTTAATCCCAGCTGGAGGCAGAGGCAGGCGGATCGCTGTGAGTTTAAAACCAGCCTGCTCTACAGAGTGAGTTCCAGGATAGCCAGGACTGTTACACAGAGAAACTGTCTCAAAAGAGGGGGGGGGGGGGG